GATGTCAGTGACACGTTCATTTTCCTCAGTGAGTCCACACTAAATGACTGTTCTCCTTAAGAAACAAAAATAAAACAACCTATTTTAATATGCCTTAGAAATATGTTCAGGAATGCGTTCGTTTCAGGAGAATGTCCCTTCTTAACCCTTCATCGTCAAGTCAACTCCAACTTGTAGTGACCCTGTCTTTTTTTGGGTGTGTGATGTGGGTGAAAGTTTACAGAATGCATTTGTTTTCCACTCAGTGGTTTATAAACACACACACGTGTTGTTTCATGACACTGATTGCAGTCCCCACAGCGTAAGCTCTCCTCGCACCTCCTCCCTGTGGTCGGCTCCCTCTGCCTGCGTCCTCCTTTCCTGTGCATCCCTGCCCTCTGAGCCTTCCCCCCGGCACAAGCCCTGCCCTTTGGACCTCCCCGGTCGATCGTTCTAAGGAGCGTAAGTAGAACTGAGCTTCACAGAGGCCTTTTTTTGCTGTAATCTTTCTGGAAGCAGATTCCCAGGCCGTTCTCCCCCAGTGCAGCTGGATGGGTTCGTACTGCCAACCTTTCCACTAGTTGTCAGGCACAAACGGTGTGTGCCTCCCAGGGACCCATGCTCATTCTTAGTACATTTCAAGATCAGTAAACAATAACTTAAAAGTAATGTGCTTTGGAATATTTATTTGAGAGAAGTTGATTAGCTTTAACTTGGTGACTTTGAAAGTATTTGTTTTGAAATGTTGATGGGATCCACACTTGCAATACCACCACATTGCATTTGTAGAGTGCTTTATTCTCTTCAGTTACAGAGAGTGATGGTCACATTGCTATCAAAAAACATTCTGAGCCTGCACCACAAGGTGCATATACTGAATCATAGACTGTGTGTTTTACTCCATCAAAATACAGTACCCGCCATAAAACATGCCAAAAAGAAAAGGGAGAAGAGAGAAAAGGCAAGAAGGATGACCTAGTGTTTTCCTCCATGCAGCTCAAGGTGGCTTTGCCCCATTTCATACCTGCTGGGCCTAGTCCTCCGGGTTTACCCGAGCTGGATAAGCTGTGTGTGCAAGACCCCTCTCTGAACACCCTTCTGTTTGGAGCATGCACTCACTAGACCTGTGCAGCCCTCAGGCTCCTTGCCTTGTGGCGAGCATCCCTCCTTGGGGTCATTTGTGGACACCCCGGCAGGCTTTTGAGCTGGTGTTCCCGGCCTTCTGCACATCCCCTTCCTTCTGTTCTCCCTGTTAACAGGCTGTGCCAGAGGGACCAGCCTGCCAGCTTCTCAGGAGCTGGCCAGTTCTCATCTCCACGCCCCGCTCTGACAGCTTTCGAGCTGGAGACTTTACGAATCCTGCTCACTGCACGTGCCACCATCGGACTCTCTGTCCCCTCTGACCCCCTTGAAGACCTCCTTCCTTGTCCGTTCAGTGGCACCTTTACCGCCCAGAGTTAAAGCAGAAACACTTGCATGTTTTCTCACCTTCTCTGTCCAGTCAGCCACCAACTTGTTCTGATTTTCCAGGCTAGCAGACTCCAGTTTATCCAGTACCACCTCCTTTCTGCAGCCGCTCGTCTCTTCCCTTCTCTATTGGAGTGGCCCTGAGTGGCCCCTCAGTGGGGTGTCTTCCAGCCTGTCCACCACACTACAGCCAAAGCAGTTAATCTGAAGTGCGAGTCCCACTGTCATTTCTTTGCTAAAAATTCATTGGTGTCTTCCCGCCACCTGCCCAGTGACATGCACGCTCCTCACAGTGCTGGTCAGTACCCCTGTCTCCCTGGCCCCTGCTCAGGGCCACACCCCGTCCTCAGCCTGCTTGCTTTCTGCTTCAGCCCCAGTGACACTTGGTGGCTCTGTTCTCTTCCTCATGTACTCTTTTAAACCTTAAAAAATGTCACCAGTTTTACATTTACATAATGCACATGTCACTGGGGTCTGTATATCAGTTAAGAGAACCGTTGGTTTCCTGTCTCCGTTTCTCCATCCCTGGGGCCAACCACTTGCAGCAGTAGCTGGGTCTTCCTGGGTTACTTCACCGTCTCTAAATTGCATGCTGGTAGAGTTGCTTCTGCACTTCCGTTTAGGCTTTGTCTCTGTCTCCCCGCTGTGGAAGATGAGGTGTTGGCTCCTTGCACTCAGCTGCTGCTTCCCACTCCCAGTTCCCCATCCCCGCCGCCCGGTGTGTTGTCTCTGGGTGCTGGTGAGTCAGTTCGGATGCTTAGTGGCACCATGGGACAGAGAACAGCTGCCCCTAGGGTTTCCGAGACTGTCATCTTGGCGGAAGCAGGTTGCTGGGTCTTTCTCCTGCAGGGCCTCTGGTGGTTCGAACCGTTGAGCTTTCGGTTGGCAGCTGAGTGCTTAACCATTGTGCCACCAGTGCTCCTTAATGAGCGATCAGGCCCTCATAAAATAGATACCCTGGTGGGGGGTGCACAGCATTCTCAGTAATGTTACTGTTTGTTCGTTTCAGAGTCTTTCATGGTCTTTCCTGACAGTTTCCTCATTTAGATCATAGATTATCCTTGATCTCACACATGAGCACAGACGCACACCCAGCTGGTCTCATTAGATTTGTAGGTGCGGCGAGAGCGTTGGTGAAGCACGTCCTAACCTTGAACTGGAGCTTGTGCCCAAAGCCACACAGGATTGAACAGCTGCTGAGGCCTCACACCAGTTTGTGGTGAGAAGTTGTCATAAGGGATCTTGGGTGAACCCTTTAAAAGCCTCTGCTGTTTGCTATCCTGAGGGTTAGAAACTAAGCCCAAGAAACTTTCTCCACCGTGTTATTCACCAGAACTGCAGTAATTGGAAATGTGGTGGATTCTCTAAAATTTGCTGAACTTTGGCCTGGCAGCAGGCACCTGCCTTGCCTTCTGAAGGCCAGGCCCCTGCCAGCCTAGTTCTGTGAGAACTTTGTAGACATCAGATCCATAAGTAAAGTCGACTTTGGCTTCTTAAAAAATGGCTCGTCATTCCTGATGCAAAGAGAAGAGTTCTCACACATGACCCTTCAGGGAAGACCCTGGTTCCATGATTGATTCGTTCAGTTATGTCCTGGTTAAGGGAGGACATGGTGTCTATTGGAGCTGCCAGGTAACTGTATTGTCATGAAAGTACAGAGCCTCAAGGTTTACAGTTGTCTTATTTTTAAGTATGTGTAGGGAACTGCGTTAGTGCAGCACTGTTTACTATGGGAACTGTATTAGTGCAGCACTGTCGTCTGTGGGGAACTGTATTAGTGCAGCACTGTCGTCTGTGGGGAACTATATTAGTGCAGCACTGTTTTCTATGGGAACTGTATTAGTGCAGCACTGTCGTCTGTGGGGAGCTGCATCAGTGCAGCACTGTCGTCTGTGGGGAGCTGCATTAGTGCAGCACTGTCTGTGGGGAACTCTATCAGTGCAGCACTGTCGTCTGTGGGGAACTCTATCAGTGCAGCACTGTCGTCTGTGGGGAGCTGCATTAGTG